TTTTTTTTTTTTTTTTTTTTGCAGTACGCGGGCCTCTCACTGTTGTGGCCTCTCCCATTGCAGAGTACAGGCTCCAGACGCACAGGCTCAGCGGCCACGGCTCACGGGCCTAGCTGCTCCACGGCATGTGGGATCTTCCTGGACCAGGGCACGAACCCATGTCCCCTGCATTGGCAGGCGGACTCCCAACCACTGCACCACCAGGGAAGCCCTAAAACACAGTATTTTGACAATACATCCCTAATGGGATATATCATAAGGTTAAAACACACATACACACAAAGAAAGCAACTGCATTCAGTAGTCTTATCAATAGTTATAATACTGGTTTTGTTATTTTTTGAAACTACTGAAAAAGTAAATCATTTATTATATTATTGTAGTTAGGAGCCAAGATTCAGTATATGAATAAAAAATACAGGGACTTCCCTGGTGGTCCAGTGGTAAAGAATCCACCTTCCAATGCAGGGAACGCGGGTTCGATCCCTGGTCGGGGAACTAAGATCCCACATGCCGTGGGGCAACTAAGCCCGCATGCCACAACTACTGAGCCCGCACACTGCAAACTACAGAGCCTACATGAGCCACAACTAGAGAGAGCAAACCTGCATGCCACAACTAGAGAGAAGCCCATGCGCTGCAATGCAGAGCCCGCGCCGCAATGAAAGATCCTGCACACCTCAACAAACACCCCGTGTGCCACAACTAAGAGCTGACACAGCTGAAAAAAAAAAAAAAAAAGAATCCAGCATTTATCCTGACATTCCTGTACAAACTGTATTTCAAATAGTTGGTGAAAGAAAGTTCTTTATAGAAAATCACAACTAATAAATGCAATAGGAAAAAAGAATTATATGATCTCTATTTCCTATCCTACAATGATATAATAGATCTACAGACAACTATCATCAATGGTCCTTAAACCATGAGGTAAGAGGTAGATGAGGAACTTATCATAACGGACAAGTCAGGCCAACATCATCTGAATCCACTGATTAATCCTAACCAAAGGAATATTATGTGCCTCCCGTTACATTACAGTATGAAATACATGGTACCATTCATGAAGTATTTTTACCAAGAAAACAAACAAATGAATCAAATCCAGCCTTTAAATCTAACTACCAGATTAAAGAAGAAACATTTTAAATGACACCTCGAGGACACAATCAGCCAAAATATAAAATGTGGGAAATTCTTTAGAAGAAATACTCCAGTTTCTACAGAACAAATG